TATAAGCTTCTATACTATAACTTTAAAATTATAATAAAGATTTTATATTTAATATCTTTTTAGATAACTAAGATAATACTATTATTACTTTTAAGTTCTTTATTACTAACGCAAAAGGTAGATCTAGAGAATAAAACTCTACTAAGAAATATTATATATATTTTAAAAGTAAGTGTATATATAATAGTATTATACTATTTAATAAAAAATATACTTTATATAAGAAGTAGTATAGTTACTATATACTATAAGACTATAATAAAGAAAATAGTTAATTAGTTTTAGGTAAATCTAAAGAATAAAACTTTACTAAGAAATATTATATATATTTCTAATATAAGCGTAAATATAATAGTATTATACTTTTTAATAGAAAATATACTTTCTATAAGAAGTAGTAATATTACTATATACTATAAGACTATAATAGAGAAGGTAGTTAACTAGCTCTAGAATTAGGTCTACTAGTAGATAAAAAATATACTATATATAGTTATAATAACTAAATATATAATAGTATACTACTTTTTAATAAACTATACTTATACTATAAGAAACGTAGTATTCTATACTATATAAAAAAAGCTAGAGAATATAGTTAATTAGCTCTAGAATTAGGCCTACTAGTAGATAAAAAATATACTATATATAGTTATAATAAACAAACGTATAATAGTATACTACCTTTTAATAAACTATACTTATAATATAAGAAATGTAGTACTCTATACTATATAAAAAAGGCTAAAGAGATTACTTTAGAGAATAAGTATATCTTTTATATAAGTAAATAACTACTATATAATAGAGAAGATCTATATAAAGTATATATATAATAAGAAAAGAGATATATTTCTAAGAATCTTAGAAACGCGTCTAAAGATAATAAGTATATAAGATATACTAGTTTATAGCTTATATACTCTAGAAGTAGTTTTTATAAAAATTATATTAAGTATAGATATATCTAGTGCGTTTATTCTAATAGTAATAGTATAGATATAAAATATACTACTCTAAAGTACACTAGTATATTTTATAATAACTTTTATATTTATAGATTCTATTAATAGTTTAATAAAATATACTTTAGTACTTCTAAAAACTATAATAGTAAAATACTATATAATTACTATAACGTTAAGACTATACGTAGTTATTCTAGAGATTTAAATATTAACTAGTTATAGCGCTATTTATATAATCTCTACTATAGTATATAACTAACTTTTTCTAATACTAGATAGAATAGTTATATTAACTCTTCTTTACTATATAATTAGAAGTTAGAGAGTAATTTAAGCTTCTATTACTCTAGTAATAATAAGAATTATATTCTAAGTAATAATAATAATAATAACTCTAATAAATTATCTAATAATAATAATAATAATAATAATAATAATAATAATAATAATAATAATAATAATAATAATAATAATAATAATAATAATAATAATAATAATAATAATAAGTTTAAAGAGTTATCTAATAATAAGAATAATAATTATAATACTAATAATTAATTAACTTAAATTAACGTTCTACTAATATAAACTAACTCTACACTAACTTAAGCTAATAGTTTAATAACTTAATATATACTTATAGTAACTCTAATAGCTCTATAGTTAATTAATATACTATAAAATACTATTACGCTTAAATAAGCTAAATAACTACCTAACTTTCTATAATACTATAAAGCTATAAAGATAGAATATAAATAACTTAATAAGCTTAATATATAAAAAGTAGTTAACTAATCTACTTATAGAAAAGTCTTATTAGAAAGATAAGTTCTTTATATAAAATAAAAAGTAGATAGTAAAGTAGAGAAGTATAAAGTATAATATTACGCCTATAGTTTTAAATAAGTCTACTTACTTAACTATAATAAGACTTTTATAATAGTTATTAAAAACTTCTTATAGAAATCTCTATTTATACTTATAGTATAATTTAGTTAGAAAGTTTACTAGATAGACTTTATTACTATATTTTTAAATAGAGAAGTAGAAGAAAAGATATATATTAAGTAACTAGAAGAATTTAAATAAGGTAGAAAGAGTAAAGTATTACTACTATAAAAAGCGCTATATAGCCTTAAGTAAGCACTTTAATAGTAGTATAAAAAACTAACTAACTACCTTCTTATAACTAGATAGAAAGTATCTAAGTTTAATCTATTAGTCTATCTATACTCTAAACTAATAATACTAATAGAAGTATATATAAATAATATACTTATTACTAGACTATATATTAACTTAATTAGTTAAGCTAAGATAAAGCTAACTTAAAAGTTTAAGATAAAGAACTTAAGTAGATATATATACTACCTTAGTATAAATATTAAATAGCTTAATAATAGTATCTTAATTTATTAATATAACTATATTAATAAAATTTTTAAATAATAATAATTCTAAAAACTTACGCTAACTATAATTCTATATAGTATAAATAAGCTATTAAGTATTAGTAAAAACTAGAATAAGTCTTCTATTAGTCTTAAGAAAGAGTACTAGTTAATAACTAGTAAACTACTATATATAGTACTAAAAACTTAACTAAATATTAGTTATATAGTAGAAGTACTATTAAGATATATATTAAACTTTTTATAATTTTATATAGATTAGGCTATATAAGTATACTAGTATTTAAGTAAAACTAAAGATACTAGTATCTTCTTTCTATATAGAAACTAAAGTCTATTAGTAGATTTCTCTAATAGTAACTAAGCTATATATAAGAACTTACGCAAGTTAATAAGTAGATAGATAATATAACTTAGAGAAGCTACTATTATATATAGTTTAAAATAATAATATATTATTATATAGTTTACTTAGAAAGCTAAGTATATAGCTACTATAAAACTATTAAATAAACTTATATAGATTTAATAACTACTTAATAAGATTCTAATAAAACTTAGTAAAGTAGAACTTAATATTAGATAAAAACGTACTATAATTATAATTAATAATAATAGTATATAACTTCTATTAAAAAACTTAGAGTACTACTAAGTTATAAAACACTTTAGAATTAGATATTATATACTTAGATAAAAAGTTAAAAAAGGTACACTTTATCTAGAATATATAAACTTAAAAAATAATATAGTAGATATTTTTACTAAGGTCTTAAAGTAGAAAGACTTTAAGAAGCTATAAGATTAAATAAGAATAAAAAGCCTATAAAGGTATAATAGATAGTATCTTATTAGAAGAAGTATTATTTTAATAAGCTATTTTACTATTAAACTTTATAATAAAGAAAAGTAGAAGAGTTATAAGAAGTACTTTCTATATTATTATAATATTATTTTAATATAATAAGTTTTTAATACAAACTATGTAGTCTGTATATGCACGCTAATGAATTTAGTTCCTAGGGGGTTAAAATAGTTAGTGCCGGGTTATGATACTATTGTAATACTTGCTCTATCCACATTTCTTCTTCTTTTCGATAGTGACGGGTGTCGTGCATGTCACGCAACCATGGAATCATAGATGCATTGACTTGCATCCTTACACTAGAGTAGAAGCAGGGAGTCTATCTAGGCACACGCACATACTACATTGTAGATAGACGCATTCATCGCTATCCCCGAGCCTCGGTCCGATTTCCCACTGTTCTTTCTGCTTTGAAATGCCAAACCCTGTGCAACACATCAAAGACCAAGAAAAAAAAGGGCTTCTAGAATGCCCCGAAAATTCTTCCTCGGGGTTTGATAGGAGATGCATACTTGAAAAAAAATAAGGAAGAGGCTGAGGGCTGTGTTACTGCACACCGCTAGCGTGGCCGACGCGGGCGGCACCGGCATCTGCTGGGTCCAGATCTCACGGCGCTCCCATTCTGCCGCTTATGTGCTTTTCAGCCCGCATTTGTGCGTCGGAGAGTCGTCTCCGCGGGAACAAAGTCGGATGTATGCTTGGTTGATGTGGTGGTGGTGGTGGCAGGGGATTAAGGTGCTGACAGGTGCTGGGTGTGGGAACTACTTGCTGCCCGTGCAGACGTTTGTGCTTTTGTTTGTGGTATGCAGAGCCGATGAGGTTGCACATGGGTCGAGAGGCTGAATCTAGAGTGTGAGACCTTGATGTGGTGTCAGCTTGTGTTGTTCATGCTGTGGTGTAAAGAGACGTACGATGCTTGCAGTAGGGCGATGGTAGAGGGAGACATTTTGGTTGAGACCGGCGTCGCCGTTGCTGGGTGTAGAGTATGTCGAACACATGGTAGCTGGACATGCACGCCATGGCGACCACCGGAGAACTGTCACAGAAGAACGAGGGTTCACTAGAGAGATATTGGGTGCTGAGATAGAACATTGCTTGATGCTGATATTACTCTGGGGTATCATTGCTAGCTACAATGCATATAGTACATCCGCTTGTGTTTTCCCTCCTCTTGCGGTCAAAACCTTGCTGAGTACGATGGAAGGACGAAGAACTGGCTTTCGCAATTTGAGGAATAGTGAAGTGTTGTACAAATTAATAATGCTCCCAGTGGAGCCGGGTGTATCGAAGAATAGGTAAAGAAATCTAATCGCAGGCGAAACCAAAGCCCACTGGAGCCAGCGATGTCGTCTATGGAAATCATCGCTTTTTTGTTGCACATACAGAAGCCATCTCTTTCGTCAAATCATCGTACCATGCGCCCGCTGGTTCGTCGCTCAAAGTCATGTCCGTAGGAATGTGCTGGAAAATCAAAGCAGAATACTGTACAGTCGAAGAAAAGTGACCAGAACGCCGGGTGATTCAGTTCGGACCAGCGACAACTGAATGCAATGTGACCGCGTGACCGCGATTGCAAGAGGCATGGGTATCAACATCGCCCGGTCTCAGAGAGAGCCTTGGTGCGTCGCATTGGATCCGTGAAATGATCAGGTGCATGCCATGGAGCGGTCGCGGCTGTTCTGGAATGTGCGCGATAGCGCGGCAGAGGCACGGCCTCCGCGCAACACGACCGCGCATGCCATCGGGTCATGCTCAGTCGTGGTTACCTCCGCGCCTGCGGTGCTTTCCGGGGAAGTCGACCTCAGGATGCACGACACGCATGTGGCGTGTCAATGCGTCGTTGCGCGAAAAAGTCTTCTCCTCGACACAGAGTGCGCAGCGGACCTTTTGCTTGCGCGCATTGTGTATCGTGTCCTCGTGACGGGTGAGGTCATAGGGCCGCGAAAATACAGTGTTGCAGGGCTTGCCGATCGTGGGGTTGATGCGCTCACACTTGTGGGGTCCCGCCTGCGAATTGCGCTCCAAAATAGCCGCCGACGTCATAGCCTGGCTGAGATTGGCACTTCGATGACCCTCACGCTTATGCTTCTGAAGCTTTTGTGGGGTCTCGAAACGCTGGGAGCAGCCATGATACGTGCATGAGTAGGTACCAGACTCGGCGCCCGTCGATGTTGGCTTCGTAATGTAGCGGTCTGAAAGGACGCTGTTCTGGCTGCCGCTCGGTGGCTCAGCTTCGCTCGCACTTGACTCCATTGAAGTCAGGTGGGCAGGGAACTCAGGTGTCTGGTCGACGCCCGACGACATAGTGTTGGGTGTTGATCGATACTGAGATGGTGCGTTCATAGGCATGCTGTGCATGTTCTGTATTGATGGAGTGGCGAAGGTAAAGCTCGATGCCTGCGGTAATGATGGGGCGGAGGCAGTGGAGAAGTTTGGTGAGAACTGTGGTGTTACCCAGCTGTCGCGACGGTAGGACTGTGATGATGGAGTGTCGAAGCTGGATTGGGTGGCAGTCCTATATTGGTCGCCACCGGTGTATTGGCTGTCGTACTCGCTAGCGCCACTGTCCGGGAACAATGGAACTTTGGATTCTTCGTCGGATTCCCGGTAGTCTAACAGAGCGTCCTTGGGCGAGATGGTCTTTGGCTCAGAATCGTCGCTGGGCTGCATCTGAGACTTCATAGCGTAAGCCGCATCAGCCTGGCGGTTCTGCTCACGTGCCGCAACAGCAGTGTTCATAGCCGAGTTGAACGTGTTGCTAGGCTGACGGTAGGGTGAGCTCTTGCGGAAGGGTGAGTCACTTCTTGAGGCAGTGCTGCTTGGCGACTGTGAGCGAGCGTACTGTGCTGCCTGGAGCGCACGCTGTACGTTCTCGTTGGCGCTGTTGCGGTATGGCGACAGCAGCGACGACTGAGCTGGCTTGGAAGACACCGCCTGGGCGGAGGCACTGGGTTCATAGAAGCCAGCGTCGGCAGCAATGTCGGTGTAGGTCCTTTCGAACTTGGGGATCGGGCGGGTGTCTGGGTCATCGTAAGTACAAAACTGATTGAAAAGCCAGGAGTCTATCCTGCAGAGCTTCTCACCATTGGCAGGCATCTTGAAGTCGATGTCGTCCTGTGCAGTGTGTGGCGTGGCAGGAGAGTCGTGGCCGTAGCTTGATACTGATTGACCGGCCGAGTGTGCGTAGTCTGGTACGTCATCACTCTGCTCCATGAGCGCTTGCTTCATCGACATGTGTGCGGACATGGTGTGGTCCATGTTGACCGAGTTTGGTGTGTAGTTGCTGCTGAAGTTGTTTCCGCTCATGAACGAGTCCTGGGTAGGTGTATGTGTGGGTGTAGGGAGATGGTTCTGGAACGACCTTGGATATATGTCAGCCACGTTCGATGAGTAAGCCAACGCAGATTCGTGCGAAGGCGGGTATTCGGAGGGAGAGACGTACTGGTAGCCCGCGGAAGGTCCAACGGCCTGGTATTGCGAGGCGCTTGAGCCTACGGAAGACGAAGACGATGCGCGCTGGTGGCCGCGGTTCTGGTTCTGGTGTGGTGTCTGGAGCGATTGGCCCTGCACGTTACCATAGTTCCAGGACTCAAGTCCCGTGCTGGTGTTGCTGGTCGAGAGCATAGGCGGTTGTGCGAAGGCCTGGGGAAGCTGCGGTGTGGGTGTCGACTGCTGGATTCGGATGGCCGGGTTCGCGAAGTCGGTGTATGCGCTCGTCATGTACGAGTTGGGTGCACTGCTGGATGAAGTGCCGTAAGACTGCTGCTGGGACTCGAGGTAGTCGTTGAGGAGCTTCTGGTCGTAGAGGTGTTGTGCGGCAAACTGCTGGGGCAGGTGTTGATAGGAGGAGTGTGAAGACGGTGGTGACGGTATGGTTGAAAGGTGGTGACGTTGTGTGGGTAGCGCTAACATAATGGTCGGGAGGAAAAGTAAGGGACCAGCGCGGGTGGCAAGTTGCTTTATACTAGTGGGCTACCGGCCGATGACTCGGTTAGTCTTCGCCGATTTGAGTGAAAGACCACTTGATGAGGTGATCTGGGCAGCACGCGGTCGAAGACGTTGGAAGAATTCAGAGTCTGCGTCGGCTGTGCTCGGAGTGTCGGGATTAAGGTGTATGTGTGTGTCGTAAGAGATTGCAAATTGCTGAGCGACAGTTTAAACGGCTTGGGCTGCTGAGTACGCGGAATCGGTTTCCTTTCATACCTCATCCTATGACGCAACCCATGTTGGGCGTTGCAGGGGTGTCTACGCTAACATTACGCCAACGCGCAAAAGCGGCGCGATCGACACCACCCTCACGCACCCTGCATACGGCCGCCGCGGGCCCTGTCCGACCGAAGGCTGTGCAGAACCCGGCAGACGACTGTCTACCATACAGAATTTTCCACATGCCTTCGGATACCAGCCGAGAGGCCTTCCCCCAGCGTCCATGACTTGCTCCCAAAATACTGTGCAATCGCTTGTGCCCATCTAGGCGATCTCTGCAGGCATGCTCTCCACGTGAAACGGAGCCCTACGAACCGAACCGTTACTCATCGCTGTGCCAGTCGCTCTAGTGTGCAGTCGGCATGTAGCTTGTAGGGCATCGTGCGACGGACCAATTCCAAAGGTCTGTCCATGGTGACACGCCCGTATCTGGTCTAACAGCTGGCCGTTTAGGCTCGCTGGGACTACGATGCTCCAAGACGGGCTGAGCAGCATCGTTCCATGCACAACCTACTCGACAGCGTATGTGCATTACGAATACCAGATGGAGTACGCGACGGGCACCAGCCACACCTCGGCGAGCCTGTACAGTGGTCACATGTCCTCGCGCGTGACTCACAGCTGCTCTTTGATGGTTGGATAGGTGTTGGGCCCAAAGCCGTGATATGATACTGCTTTCAGCTCGCGTATATTGGACGCGAGGCCACGCAGTATCGTTTAGAGATAACCGTCGATAGCCTACCCCATACTCTGTACTATTGATAGCTGGATCTGGTGGCCAAACGGCTCCCGAGGACCACTCTGCTGGCTAGCACAATGCACATCTCTTCAAGAGATGCTGAAACTGGAGATCGATCCACGAACCAATAAACTGGGATGTGCACCTACCAGCTGCGATACTACTAGCATCCGAGGTCAGCTCAGATACCGTCTATCCTGCAGGTGGAACCGCCACTTCCGCTTCGGCACTGGCAGCATCCTCTATTCAACAACGGCACTGCCGTGCAACATCCCGACAGCCACAGGTCGAGCACAGCCAAGGTTGCACAAGGAAAACTCTTCACTGAGACTCTCCCTGCTGAATAAACGGCATATGCAACGTGCTGCAAGCATCCTGTGGAGTTGCAATGCAGCCCTAAAACCAACGTGGCATCGCATCGACGGCCTCGAACGGGTAAGATCGGTGGAGAAGGACACAAATGCAGGGTCCATCGCATCACCATGTGGCAGTGCAGCCCTATCGTATGCACGGACAATGTAACTGTTCCGGCGGCCGCGAGGCGATCTGGACCGTTCATTCGCGCGTCGAAGTTACTAGCCACATTTCTAAGCCGGCGCCCTGCCACCCGAGGCTTCTGTATCCTTCGATGCCACAACCCGAGTTCTTCTTTCATATTTTGCATTCTCATGCCATGGGGAATACTGTGTCCTTGCAGTCGCATTCGTATTGCGTCCATCTCCGTCGGACCGAACAAATGCTATCTCGTCGCTTACGAGGGTCCATGACATCATCTCTCCGAAGTCTCCTCACCATCCCTTCCCTCACCATCCATCCCAAACGACTGCCGTGCAGAACTCCTGCTTTGCGCTTCTATTTTTGCGAAGCAATATGTCCCCAATGAATATCCTTTCCCTGACGTCTTAGTCGACAACCTGCTGGTCATTGAAACTGCCCATCACTTCTCGAAGCTCGCCCGATGTGGTCATCGATCGCCAACGGCTGAGCGGGCACCATCCCTAGCCCTTGTGCCCGCCAATCCGCGAGCGCGGGATGATGAGACCCTGCGTCTGCTTGTTTTCGACAAAGTTTCTGCCGGTCCACCTGCTATGACAGGAAGCATGACTGCCGATCATGACGCCTGAGGCCTGATAGTCGCGTGTTTGTGACTTCTCCACTCACAACGCAGCTGTGACATATTCGATGCACCGGTCACTATACATCTTCAAGTATGTATGGATAGCATAGCAATGCTCGCTCAGGGATTTCTATTCCTATGCTCTTATCTGTTCTCCATCTGCCGGGGTAAGAATTTTACAAGTCCTGCTCGCATATGCAGGGCAAGCGCCTTCCGATGTTCTTCCACCCAACGGTTCTTTTGGGGTTCGTGAGGCTTGGAAATGTAACAGGGCGTCGACCGTTTCCGGTTTTGTGCCTCATGGCATTCGGGACCTGGTTTGCAACGTCATCCGTCATGCGCTCAGTCACAACCGCTCTCCTGACTGATGCATCATCAAGATAATTGCTTCTTTGTCACTGGAGATGCGACCTGATCTAGCGGATCCTGCGACACCAGTACCGCGATGCGGAGTTCATCCGGTCGTTCGGTCGGTCGAGTTCGGAGATCTGCCGAGTCAAATCTCACCACACCCTCTGCGCTGACTGCGTTCTCCGCAATCTGTTGGCCCTCAACACTGCAAAAGCATTCCTGCTTCCTCTTTCGTTAACCGGTGGCATCACCTCGGTCGTACCATAAAGCGACTTTACGCCGAGACACAGTTTAAGCGCGAATACGCGCGGAGTTGCGTTATCTCCGGATTCCACGCGACCCTTTGCAAATTATTCATGCGTTACTCAGCGCTGACAGATCATGAATCTTTGTCGCAGTCGGTGGAAGGTCCGTCGTTGCTCCGAAGTAAACCCATACGCACTGCATACGAGAATCCTATACACCATCGGCGCAAAATAGCCGGGTGCAGGCAGCTAGTCCACGTTACGAGCCTCTTGCGAGGCTGATGATGGTAAGCAAGCTAGCTTACGATGCATCAGGCAACGGTACGCTGAACGCGGGTCTCAATACGGGTGTTCGTGCGCTAAGCCCTCTGTCTGTGGGTTGCGCTCTATCAGATCTTGTTCTCTCGCTAATCTGCGATCAGTAGTGTGTCTCCACATGGCGACACTGTCAGCGCTGCTCGTTTGGGGCCGCGTAGACTTTGGCCACCTGCATGTCAGCCTCGCAAGCCTTGATCCTTGATGTAGGTGTAAGCTTTTGGGCTGTATGTAAGGTTGCCTAGGTATGCTGGATGTCTGTCGGCGAAAATGTACCGTGGAATTGGATTCCACGTGTACATGGGCATTAGCGTCAACATTGTTGATGCCTTAGCAGCGATCTTCGTCTTCGCAAGCATGTGGAGGGTTCTGAGATATAGAGAGCTTTTGTATACATGTGATGTTCGAAGTTGGATGGTCTATGGTGCACATCACTCATCTAGTGCGGCTGCTTCAATGGTGCCGCACTCTATACTCCTTCTCCCTCGATCTAACTTATCGCTCTCTATAGTTGCGACCTGGATCTTCAAGGTCACATGTACATCTTGACTTGCGAGTGGGAAGCAGACGTGTCTCTTCCAAGGCTACAAACTTCTCGGTCAATATCAGCACTGATTGCAGACGACTAGCTTCATGCTGTAAATCTACCTGTGTAGATAATCAGATATATCAAAGAAATTGAGAGCGGGGTCTTTACCAATAGCCTTACCTTTGAGCTCAACATCGTACGGATTCTCTTCATTCCTGTCACATCATTTCCTGGCGCACCCTGTGCCACAATGCTTCGGTCTTGGTTGACATTTTCGCTATCCTTCCACGGAGAAATGCCACGCGGCATATGGGATGAGAGCTAAGTGGTTTGATCCCGACAGCTTTGCAAGTAGTGCCTCTTCGCGTTTGGCTTTTCTGGGCTTGCATCAATGGCATACTGGACGCGAGGTGAGTTCGGGCTTCCGCCTCAGCGAATGCGCAGGATGGCGCCTGAATGGGCAGTAAAGTCAGTAACTTTCACAACACTTTAGTATCTGTAAGTTGATTACGTCTTTTGTGTATAGAAAAGTCAAGGGTGCTCAAGCGGACGCTCCTGCTCCTGCTGTTGTCCACCATCAGTTTCGCAAGGGCGCGCTAGCATGAGCGCCTTGCCATATTTGGCATAGAGCAAACATTGAGCATCGAGCCTTGGGCACCTCCTTCCACCCTACTACAACCCCGCTGTCGCAGGTCAATCGCATTCACCCACTACACTCGAAGGCGAGGTGGTGGTCTTACATCTCAAAGCAACGCTTCCTCGCATGCTCTACGCTTAGCGCACCTTCGTTCTGGCGCTCTAGGTCGCCGCGGGTCCGACACCGCATCTAGCTAACCTACCCAAAAGCGGAGTAAAATGGCCATCGCTCCTGGGTATCCCGGCTTGGAAGTCACGATCAACGTTGATGGTCAGCCGTTGCATGAGTATGACGACGACGATGAGGATCCGGCACCGAAGGCGACCACAAAGTACATCGAGGCGCGCTCAGATAGCAACTTCTCGATCGTGACTAGATTCAGTGCCTCTTTTTCGACTCAGTACCATGTTAGGGGGCGGCTATCGATTGACGGAGTCAAGATGGCCTCGTGGTTCTGGCTACGGAAGGACCTTCTTAGAAAACCGTTCGAGAGGACCTCTATTCGTTGGCAAGAAGGTGGACAACCGGTCAAGCAAAAGTTCTCTTTTGCTAAGCTGAACATTGGTAAGTACTATGAACGTCATGTCCTGTCGTGAGCTGATGCATTCACATAGTCGAAGAGGCTCGTGGATCTGTCCCTGATGTTGCTGCGCTGAAGCAAAGCCTCAGTACTACAGGGTGTATCACTTTATCCTTCCAGCTCATCAAGAGTTACCGGGAAATTGAAGAGAAATCTTTCTCTGCGCAGGTCCAGCTTGCAGCTCTGGAGGAAATCCCTGAGAAGGCGCTCAAGGGTCACGCGCTATCGCACCAGATAGTGTACGTCAAGAGCGAGTGGAACTGTCAGAAAGGAAAGAACTAACCCATTTGAAGTCTGTCAAAACCTGAAAAGTGCTCGAGGTACTCAACACCTCGCTACGGAGACTACGATTACCTAGACAAAGAGCCATTCGCAACGTTCCACTTCAAATACCGATCACTTGGTGAGTCGAGAACTACGTTGACGCTGTGACAATCACTGATACGAAGGTCTTTTCAGCGAGCTTAAGAGCACTTCGGCTTGTTACAGTCAACGATCCTGCCCCCGTTCCTCTGGAAGAGAGGCCCGAAGAAGACCTTACACCTGCCGAGCTGAGAGAGCTGCTACGGCGCGTACGGAGAGTATGTATGCGCGTTAACTCGCTGATTTTGAAACTTACAAATATCTGCAGCGAGAATCAGAAAGCGCTTCTATTAAGCAAGAACCCGAAGCTACACTCGGAGTCAAGCGCGAGAGGACCACCAACGACGATGAGGTGACCTATGTCGGGACGCGACAACGCAAACGTCCGCATGTGGAGCAAGAGATTATTGTGATAGACTGAGAGAGTATATCTATTCGGTCTTGACGGCGCTGAGCCTGAGGTGGTGTCAAAACGCCGAAAGATCGTCTACTTCGAAGTGGGAGCGAACTTCAAACCCTGAGCCAACTCCAAGTTTACGCATGGAAGTGTACTACCGAAGTGTTGATGCATGGAACCACCTTTAGAGGCATATATGTATAATTAGCCATGAGAGAACATGTCTTTCCACACGTCTAGTAATAGTTAGAGATAGCCACTCGGGAAGTTTAGTCGCCGCTCATATGTTCACAACACGCTAGGACCTGTTGATAGAATAGCTGCCTTCACCTCCTTCAACACCATATACTAACTTCATTCACGCCTAGCTCGCTTCTATCACTACGCCTAGTTAGTGGGTGGTATCTAACGATTTCCAGCATTCTCATCTTGAGACCTCGCTTCCTTCTTTTTTCCCACCAGTAACACGACTTGCTTCCAAAGGTCCTCTTGCAACATGGCTGTTCATCCCTTCCTGCCCGGCCTTGCCGTCGAGATTGTCGTCAACGGCGCTTCACTGCCTGAGTACGATGACAATAGCGACACTCCCGCTTCGCCGATGATGGTCACCAAATATGTCGAGGCGACCTCTGGGGCTAACTTTACGATCGAAGTCTTGCTCATGGAGGAGTTTCCTTTCCCAAAGGGTCATCTAGAAGCCGAGATCAGTCTCGATGGGCGAGTGTTTATGTGTGAGCTTATCAGAGAAGATCAGTTCTTCAACGACCATTTGATGGACGGACGTCACTCTCAAGTTGGTCAATACCCAAAGACACAGAAGTTCTTCTTCGCCGATCTGGAAATAAGTAGGTTCACAGTGAATGGGAAGCTTATGATGCGCCAATAGATGTTGAACATGTCAAAGCTGAGCTAACGATCGGAAGTTGAAGGTAATACACCACTCCCTGACTTGACTTCGGCTGGCGCCATCTCTGTCAGCTTGAGGTATATACGGAATCTCCGGTACAGCGTGCCGAATCACGTCGTCGAGACAACTCCAGCATCCATTCAAATTTCCGAGAAGGCGATGAAAGGTCGTATTTACACACATCGAGCTGGGTACGTTTAATCACACTTTGTGGAGGCAATGCTAAGTTTTACAGTGTATCTAAGCCTGTCGCTCGCTCATACCAAACTTGGTGGGACTATGATCGCGTAACGAAGTCTCCGTTCGCTACCTTTAATTTTAAATACCGTTCCTTGAGTAAGTCAAAGTAGTTTCGCGACGTCGTACCACCAGCTGATCCGTGTAGATGCTCTCCGCATCCTGGGTCTTATCCCACGCGAGCCCACTCCTCCACCTCTGGAAGAGCGACCCGAAGATGAGCTCACTTCGCATGAACTACGCCAACTCGTCAAGCAGCTCAAGGTACATTGTCAGCAAAGTATTATACTATCACGTACTCACTATTGCAGGATCGCAATACAGCTTCGGTCAAGATCAAGGAAGAAGCCGGTGTCAAGCGCAAGCGAGTCGATGAAGCTATCGAGGTGAGCGATGAGGAGGGCGTAATGGTTGTTTGGACCGAAAATCGGAAGCGTCACCGTGGTGCAGATGGAGAGATTATCGTGCTGGACTAGAAGTGTAATTTTTTTCGTGCAAAAGTTTGTCCATTTTGGTTTCCTTGAGTGGAAGCTGACGGGATAGGGATATAACGAGACCTGGTGAAGGATACAGATGCTCATACACTCACCTTCAACACTGGTTGAGCGCTATGTCCTTCGCAATAGCGACTCTCTACTGTAGATGGTAAGACTATCATATTCATTTTCCGTCATCACTTGTCCCTAGATCCAACGTAATGTACCTGTACTCGCAATCCAGACGTAATATCTCTCACCCTCTTGGGTACTCGCACTCACATCAGACCCAACCAGGATGTCCTACCGCCTTTACCTGACTGTCGCTACACGCCAGCGTACAGTTGGCCTCATATATATCTAGCGTCGTTTTTCCCCACCTCTTTCCTTCTATCATCATCACCGTTCCTCAAATCGAATTACAACATCAACATGGCGGTTCATGCCGACTACCCTGGCCTGACGGTTGAGATATATGTCGACGGCAAACCACTTAAAGAATACGAACATGAGGAGGAGGAGGAAAACGAGCCTAAAATCACGACGCGATATATCGAGTGCCGGTCGGGTGCGGAGTTTGAGATCAGGACGAGCTTCAAATCGCCCTTCATTCCTATGGACATAGCTGTAGGCTCATCCCTAAACGGAAAATTGGTACATGGACTAGTTGTAACAAAGAAAAACATGCTGAAAACGGTTGCCGTGCAATCAGAAACTACCTGGGGAGAACGCGGGTCATGGCGAGCATCCAAGTTCCGCTTCTCAGACCTCAGTATCGGTAGGTAAACACCAGTCTAAGCTTCAAAGATGGGTGCACAGGTACTAATCCATTTCATAGTGGGAGAAGACAGATGTTTCGCATTCGAAGAGAGTCTAGAGTCTCTCAGTGCCGTGGGCACGATATCAGTTGTACTTAAACAAGCGCTAAGCCACAAGATCGCGTCAAAGGCAACAACAAAGAAGAAGATGTTCAGAGAAGTCGGACCAGTTTCAGAGAGCTCTATGAAGGGAGACGTTCGCTCTCATACGATCAGGTATTTGTTCACTCCAAAATTGACAAGAAATTGCTGACACACGATGAGTCTTGCACCAGATAGAGCTATAGAAGCGCCCATCATGATCAGGCCCAAGCTGGCTGAGGAGCCTCTGGTCACGTTCAGGTTCAAATACCGCTCAATCAGTGGGTTCATTGCATGAGTGTGGAGTCGTTAAACTTACAAAGTTGTAGCTGCACTGAAATCACTCGGCATGATACCCCGCTCACCGAGTCCATCTCCAATCCCACAGCTAGAGTCGATCAAGAAGCATGACCTACCTGTGTCAACTCGGAACATGCCCCCAAACACCCCACGACTCACTGCCAGCGTCACCTCAACTCCGCGACAGCAAAAATCCGCTTCGCCCCCTTTCAACGAACACGACGGCCTCACGAATGAAGATATCATCGCGCTCATCAAACATTACCGCGGAAACGACAAGGGATTGGTGGACCAAAATAGGAAGCATCTGCTTGTATTGCTCAAACATTACGTGGTAAGCGGACATGAGACTCGAGTCTAAATGGCGCTGACCATTTTGTAGGACAAAGACAACGAGATCATACTCATCAAGCAAGAGTCCGCTCCCAGTGAGTCAAATGTGCGCAACAAACGTGAGCATATCGATGATGGTGCTGTGCGTGGGCAGGGAAAGAGGCGCAAGCCTGAGGTCATAGTCTTGGATGACTGAACAATATGGGCGATGGCTGGATGGGCAGGCTGAAATTCAGAAACATATGGCGCCGTTTGTGGGAACGACTCCTAACTTGCGAATTGGGGTTTAGGAAGAGACATGGCATTGGCGAAAAGTACTTTGAAAGCAATTCCAAAAGACCACGAGACGGAAAGTTTTCAGAAAACGAACTGAATACGACTATTAGCGAACCGAATGCATTCATTTCTGCGTCATACCGTCGCACATATCCTTTCAGCTACGATCTACCAACGTGCAGCCGTTGCGGTAGGCGTAGCATACGTGTCACTCCAACTCGCAGTGTACTTCGAACTTCCCACAATCGTCTGACTCTTCACATCCGCAAACGTCGCACTGGTGACGACACTATCAGTGCCAATCCATGTGCTCCATGCCGTAGCAGTGGTAACACCATCGACAGGTCCGACTGGGACAGCGGTAGTCTCAGCCCAGGCACCAGACCATACAGTAGGACCTGGGATAACGTAGTCGGTGACGCAGGGAGTAGTAGACGTCTTCGGCTTTTTTGTCTCGGTGGAGCAGTATACCTGCATCGTGTTAGCAAACGAGCTACGCCCCAGTACTTGGAAAGGGGAGACTCACGTTGTGCACAACACCCGGATCCTCATAAGAGTACGCTCCAGGGAAGCTCACGCCCTCAGGCAACTCCACCTCGCCATCGCCTTCAACCTCAATCTGAACACAGTCGGGGTAAAACTGTGCGCCTCTCTTCGGGTTCGCGAGATAGCTCACATCGCCCTCGTGCAGACCAACCATCTCCGCACGAATGATGTAGTGTCCCGCCTTCAACCCCTCCGGCACCCTAATATTCATATGCCCAAAGTTCATCGCAATATCACCGGTGGTACTCCACTTGCCCGCCTGCGGAAACGGATTACTTTCGAATTTCCCCTCATGCCAGATCTTGACAAAGGAGTTCTCCGTCGGCGGATCGGGCGAGATGTAGATAAGCGAGGGGCCATGGTGCGAGTTGGCGATGACATCGTCTTTGTTGTTGCGGACGTCGTGGTGCCAATCGAAGGTCAGGTTGTCGCCAGGCTGTACTTTGATGGTGTCGTGGGCTTGGATGTCGCCCATGACGTTGCAGCGCATGTCGATGGAGTTGAGGTCTTTGACGGGCGAGTTGTTGTAGCCGCCTTTGCCATTTTGGCCGTTGTAGGCGGGGATGCGGACGCCTTTGAAGGTTCCTTGGTCTATGCCGTTGACGAAGACGCCCTGGGGGTGTTAGTATGGGACCTAGGGATTTGGGAATGGCTGAGCATACCCAGATGAAAGTGTGGGCGCAGGCTTGACCTGCAAGAAGCGAGATGAGAAAGGTAGAAGTGCGAGCCATAATCATGTACTGTAGGACAGACTAAACTTGGGGAATACAGAGAGAATCAAGCAAAAGTTGCTACACATATCGAAGATAGATATATACCCAGTTTTGAACAATCATACCTAAATTCCGAAGCGTCGTACAGTACATTGGCAGGTGATGAGGCTAGTGTATTGGGATGCATTTACCCGATCGGACTCAGATTGTTAATATATCAGGAGTTCGGTAACGTCCAAACACAGCTGCAGACCTGGAGGCTCCAGCGGGAACATCGGACGTGTCTCCGGTAATGTGTAATTGGATCCGTAGACTGTGTTGGATGATCGTGGTTGACGGGGGTGTGGTAGTATATGCTACATGAAGTCCAAATGCTCCATATCCATCGGGCGCTTCTGGCAAGATCAAGACGGCCACGCTCGCCTCGTAACGAACCGCTTGACCAGGGACGTAGTGATTGGGGCTTTTGCACCCGCGTAAGGACATGAATTCGCTGCATAAACGCGTCGTCGAGGAAGCCCTTAGATGTCATCATATCGTCTGGCTGCTGACAAGCGTAGGCCCTCTTGAGAGAAGGATGGGTCTGAACATCAGAAGTGACGTGTATGATTGCCTGAAGGCTACAGTGATCGAGTCGACGTTACTTTCAGCAAGACTCTGGATCATGGTCAACAATAGGTACGGTACAAAGAACACGTCGCGTGACAACGCGGATTGAAAGATGCCTGCCTTGAAGGCTTCCTTCAGAACCAGACGAAAGGTCCACGAGATTCTACTGACGAACACTGCACGATGATGGAATGTGACCTCTGCTGATTCCCAACCTATCAGTATACTCAGAATGAGTTTTCCAGATCGGGCGCCCAGCCATGGGTCTAAATCTCTTCTTCGCGCAGCGCGAAAACAGGCTCATTCATCAGAGAAATGAGAGTCTGCCATTACGTAGTGTATTTGTTGCTGGCGATGATGAAGAGAAAAAGAGCGACGGCGAGGAAAATCGCGGTTTTGAGGCTGGGGCGGAGCGGAGCTTCGGTGGTGCTAGGCCCAATTGGGAGCGCTAGGGCAAGAACATCTGGCCGCATCGCCAACTGAGGTATCCACGCAAGTTCAAGTGCGTGAGCTTCCTACGACGTTGCATTATCCTGTGCAGTTGTTGCCTTGAGGGAGGAACACTTGACACGTCTCGGTATCTTCTGCTGCATACAACTACAGCTCCCCGCCTCGCGCCTGCTACATTCACACCGCCCCGCCAAATCTCCCATCGTGGGCGCTCTCGGTCCCTCCATCACCAACCTTCGACAACCCTCACCCACCCCAGACCTCCTCGCGCAGCGCACATAGCTGCAACCGCCCAGCATGGCCGACTTCGAGGCGCTCAAGGACCAGTGGAGCGACATTGAAGACAGGGATGGCGTCCGTCTCAGCTGGAACACGTTTCCCAGCACGCGCATGGTACGATAGACAATGCCGGCGCGAGGGACGCAACGTACTGATGCGGTCTACAGGAAGCTTCCCGCCTAGTCGTTCCCATTGGTGCACACTACACGCCTCTCAAGGAGAAGACGGACACTCCGCTGCTCCAGTATGAGCCTGTCAGCTGCAGGGCGCCATGCAAAGCTATCCTCAACCCCTACTGGTATGCCTGGCATAGTCTCTTGCAACTTATCTCAAGCTGACATTGAGACAGTCAAATTGACATGCGCGCCAACCAGTGGATATGCCCCTTCTGCTTGAACCGCAATCACCTCCCCCCGCACTACAAGGACATCTCCAACCAGCAGATGCCCCCAGAGATGCACCCGAACAGTACCACGATCGAATACCGCCTTCCCCGACCCATACCGAGCCCGCCCATCTTCATTTTCGTGGTAGACACATGTCAAGAGGAAGACAGCTTGAAGGCGCTGAAGGACTCGATCATCATGGCTTTGAGCCTGCTCCCAGCATACGCGCTGGTTGGTCTGGTCACATACGGTACAATGGTAGGTACAGGAAGCTACAATGAGTGCTATAAGCTGACAGCCATAGACACAAGTACACGAACTGGGCTACACCGAATGCGCCAAGTCGTACGTCTTCCGCGGAAGCAAGGACTACTCTACCAAGCAGGTGCACGAGATGCTGGGCCTTAGCCAGATGGCTCCTCGACCCGGTGTCCCACAGCAGCCTGGACGACCACCTATGGGCGCTCCAGGTGGCGTTGGCACGCGCTTCATCCTACCCGTGTCGCAGTGCGAATTGCAATTGACCAACGCTCTCGAATCAATCCAACGGGACCCCTGGCCTGTCGCGAATGATAAGCGTCCCTTGAGGTGCACCGGTGTGGCGCTCAGCGTCGCTGCTGGACTCCTGGAGACGAGCTTCATGAACAGTGCCGCCCGCATCATGTTGTTCAGCGGTGGTCCAGCCACCGAGGGACCTGGTATGGTCGTTGGCCCGGAGCTGCGCGAGCCCATCCGATCGCACCACGACATCGACCGCGACAACATCAAGTACTACAAGAAGGCACTGAAGTTCTACGAGGGCCTTGCGAAGCGCATTTCCCACAACGGCCACATTGTTGACATCTTTGCCGGATGTCTGGATCAGGTCGGTCTCCTTGAGATGAGGGGTCTTGCAAACAACACTGGTGGACACATGATTCTGACGGATAGCTTCACCTCGTCCATGTACAAGCAGTCCTTCGTGCGCGTTTTCAACAAGGATGCGGACGACAACCTCCTTATGGGATTCAATGCCGAGTTTGAGGTGCTGACAACCAGAGAGTTGAAGATCACTGGTCTTATTGGACACGCTGTGTCCCAGAACAAGAAGTCTGTTTCTGTTGGTGAGACGGAATGCGGTATCGGAAACACCTGCGCCTGGAAGATGTGTGGTATCGACCCTGAAGCCTCATACTCGATCTATTTCGAGATTGCCAACCAAGGCGGATCCAACGTGACCTCTTCGCAGCAACAGGCTCTTATTCAGTTCCTCACATACTATCAGCACTCCGCTGGCCAGTATCACTTGAGAGGTAAGAACTCCATGAAACGTGTCTGATCGGAGTACGCATGCTAAACATTCACAGTTACCACCGTGGCCCGACCCATGAGCGGTCCATCTGGCGACCCTGCCATTGCCCAGTCTTTTGACCAAGAAGCTGCTGCCGTCCTCATGTCGAGGATAGCAGTCTTCAAGGCTGAGGTCGACGATGGCCCTGACGTTCTTCGATGGGTTGATCGCATGCTTATCCGACTATGTGCTCGCTTCGCTGAGTACAGGAAGGATGACCCTTCGTCATTCAGGTAGGCATTTCATTACTCTAGAGTATAGAGTTCTCCCTTCGATATCAGATACTAACTACTCGATCAGGCTTGAGAAGAACTTCACACTATACCCGCAGTTCATGTTCCATCTTCGTCGGTCACAGTTCCTGCAGGTCTTCAACAACTCGCCCGACGAAACCGCCTTCTACCGTCACGTCTTGAACCACGAGGATGTTAGCAACTCCCTCATCATGATTCAGCCAACACTAGACAGCTACGGTTTCGACCACGAAGGTGGCCAGCCTGTCCTGCTCGACTCTAGCTCCATCCAAAACGAGACGGTGCTATTGCTCGACACATTCTTCCACATTCTCATCTTCCACGGCGAAACAATGGCCGAGTGGCGGAAGGCTGGATACCAAGAGCAGGAAGGTTATGAGAACTTCAGGGAGCTTCTGGAGGCACCGAAGGAGGATGCCAAGGAGCTCATCCAGGATCGTTTCCCGTTGCCTCGATTCATTGTCTGTGATGCCGGCGGTTCACAAGCTCGTTTCCTGCTCAGCAAGCTCAACCCCTCGACCACACATCAAACTAACAGCTATGGCGGTGCTGCGACAGCTCAGACCATCTTCACCGACGACGTCAGTCTGCAGACTTTCATGGACCATCTTATGAAGCTCGCAGTGTCGGGCACAGGCTAGATTCGCTGTACCTTGTAAGCTTAGTTGTCATCGATAATGCAGCGGCGAGGCAAAATAAGGGTTGTATGTGTGGTCTTTGTGTTACATCATTAGCGAAATGAAATCCTTGAATGTCTATAATCTGGTTGCGGCCTGAGGTGATCTCTTCATGTTCATAGCCGTATGCTTCAACATCCTTGCGCTGCCCTTATATCCTCTCCTATCATCTAGCGACCTCTTCATCGTTCACCTAATCTGCCATCTACTCGGCTACATCTTACTTACATCCCAGTCTTTAGCCTCACTCCCCTGGACATGTTCCTCTGCTAACATCTCCCCCGTACCCGGAACCTGAAACGGCTCCGCAGGCAATGTGATAGCAATAAACCTCGCGGGCTCGGTCTCGGACGCATTATGCCACTTGTGCATCGTGCCTCGCTGGATAACATGATCCTATTCCCAATCCATCAGTAACGTTGCAACACAAACCCACGCCCTTTTTAACAACTCTCAAAACAGCCCAAAGCGGGGAAACCAAGGCGGTAGAAAAGGGAATACGTACACCAGGCCTCAAATCCACCATCTCCCCAGTCGCAGTCTCCATGCGGACATCGCCATGGGTGCAGATCACGTAGTCGATAGATACAGTGCGGTGCATCTGACTAGCCTGCCCAGGAGCGAGATCGCAGACGATGAGGTGGGAGCCAGAGCCATTGGCTACGATGCTGCGGCCTGTGTAGCTTGATTCTCCTTCTTGCGATGTGTAGGCAGAGATGTCTTCGTCGTTTTGGAGGGAGGCTGGGATGGAGGATGTGGCGTCTAGATGGGGGATGGGGTTAGTATGTCTATTTGATGAATATGTCGATGGTGTGCAGTGTCGTTTGAATTTCTCGAGTGGATGGGTGGTATGGCTAAGACGTACATGATCGAGATGTTCCACCGATACCTGGGTATCCGTAGTACTGTAACGTTGGACTCGAATGGACAGTGCTTTTGCCCTCTTCGTTGTGGGTGATGATGTGGCGTTTGGCTGGGGGCAATGTAGTAACGGACTCGTACATTTGGGATGCAGCGAGGCGTGCGTCGTTCTCTGCCA